GTGAGCATCATGGGATACCAGTTTAATAGAACAAAGTATTCTTGCATTGAGGGAGTACTTGAGTGGAGGCCCAATGTCCATCTGCAACCTTAATACTAAACCTATAAATATATGCACATAGATCTATTTCCCCTCATCATATATCAATATATTTACATTAAGGTGACCAGACATCCCGCTTTTGGCGGGATAGTCCCAATTTTTGGCGTTTTAAACAAGTCCCGATTTTTTAAAAGAATGCATGACAAGCTAGGGAATGATCTATTTGGTCCATATAGACCAAATTTTTAATCAAGAACCCCGGCCTGCTTTAAATCTGGTCACCTTAATTTACATATGTACATGCCTGTATTTAGACCTCTATAAATGCCCTTTGCCTCCTAGTTCTTTCCTCTATTTACTTTTATTTTCCTCTTGTCCCACTGTCATGCTCAGCTTTCATTTGGGTTTCAGTGATTTCTCTTGGTTACATTGCCCTTGATCATGCCCTATCAGGCCTCTTAAACCCTCCTTGCCACTGATTTTGGATCTCTTGTTGCTCCCTTGTTGTTTCCCCTCTCTCCTCTTCTCCCATGTCCCCCCGGAACCGTAGGTCCCATCATTTTTTCCTCCAGATTGTTTATCCAGCCTATCTTATCTAGACCTGCAGAGATAATAATATGCACAAAAACAAGACAAAGCAAAACAAAGCAACAAAACAAAACAACAACAAAAAACCAAGGACAAAAAAAAAGAAAAGCCGTAAATAGTTCAAGGTCTGTTTGTTGACTTTTAGGAGTGTTTTGCAGTCAAGTCTAATGGAGTTCCACGCCCTGGCCCCAAAGTCTATTTTTGGTGTTCCCTCTGGAATTTCTTGCTCTGCTCCCCTTGCTGTTCTGTTGCACGCCCTTAGTGTTTTGCCTCGGTGTGGTGTGGTCAGATCAGGCGCAATTCCCACACTGTGTCTCCAGTGTTGTCCCCTGTAGGGCTGTGGGTCAGTGTCTCGTAGTGGGGCTGGCCATATGGTCCTCTCTGTGCTTTGCCTGCTCTGAGCAGGGATATCATCCTCAACGCTTGGTGGACCAGGATGTGCTCCACTCTCTCTTCGGGGGGGAGTTTTTTTTAAAGATCTATTCTGTTTGCATGTTGAAAGTGAAGAGGATTTGAGGTACTTGCTGACCAAGTTCAGTAACAACAGCTTTTATTATGGATTGTACCTTAACGTAAATAAGGGGCATCCTGGTAAACTGGGGAAGTAGGGACGTGATCAAGGATTTCATTTTACTTGGATCCACAATGAACTCCTTTGGAAGCAGCAGTCACAGAACCAAAGGATATACTGCATTGGGCACATGGGCTGCAAGAGATCAAGTGTTGATGAGCAGCAGTGTCATTTTGAGGACTGAAGTACGCCTGAAGTCTCACGTCCACGTGGAAGCTGGGCAGTGACTCAAGAAGACTGAAGAAGAACTGATGTACCTGAATTAGTTTTTGCAAAGAATGTTGAACATACCACAGATTGCCAGAAGGATGGACGCTGTGTTGGGGAAAAAACTTAGGATTTTCCTTAGAAGTGAGGATGGCTAGGCTTTGGCTCCAGTACTTTGGAGACGTTATCAGGAGGGACCAGTCCTGGAGTAGGACCCATACTTGGTAGAGGGTCAGTCAGAAAGAGGAAGACCTTCAGTGAGATGGTGTGCACGGTGACAGCGATGACATAACAATTAGGGGACAGCACAGGATTGGGCAGTGGCTCAATGTGTTGTCCATAGGTCACTTTGAGTTGGAGCTGATTTCATGGGACCTGACAGCAGCCCACACACTTGCAGGTCTCTTACCTAATGATAGACTTGCAAAGAATTGTTTACCATTCCGTGGGTTGTCTTTTCCCACTCTTGAAAGATGTCTTTTGAAACACAAACATTTCCACTATTTTAGAAAATGTTGACCCTTTTGGTTCATGTTTAAATGGTTGCATGAGTTTCTAAATTTGTCTCCTAGGATCCGCTTCCTATCACTGAGCATATAATCCTCAGAATGATTTTCCTCTGCCTTGTTTTCATTACATACACTTCTCTGTCTGCAGTCTGGCACCAGGCTGCCTTTCCAGCCTAGCCCCCCTGCTGTACCATGAGACTCTGCTCCATCTGAATTCTGTTTCCCAGAACGCCCAGTGCTTTTCTGCCTCTCTGAGCCTCTGACTCTGTGTGAGAGCAAGAAGCTTTCTTCTCCTCTGCTCATCCTGCCAAGTCATTCCATCCTCCCTTTCCCTGCTTAAGACTAATTAGGCTCTCTTGCCTGCTGTAGCTGGAAGTGATCTGTTTTCCTTTATGCATCTCAGTAACAACTGGCTTTTAATCACAAATTGGTTTATAAGAAGGCAATTTCTTATAAATTTAGCAATTTCTTCCAAAAATTTCATGAGAAAATTCTATAATCTTTTAATACTATTTTCCCCATGAACTTTTGAAGCCCCCTTACATTTAGTTTTAGTTTTGTTTTTTTTTTAAATCTCTCCAATTACATTTTAAGTATTGTAAAGGTTGTGGCTGTGTCTCGTATAGTGTTTAACCCACTCAGGGCAGACGTTCAATGGGAAAGAGAACACTGCACACCAGTATCCAGACACCATGTCTTGCCCTGAGCGCTGGCATTAACTGATACTGTGACTTTGGATAAGCTACTTAATCTTTTTGTACTCTAGTGTCATTGATGTCTTGTTCCTTTGGTAACTATGGTAGTGTGATTTCCTCTGTAACTCAGTTCCTTGCAAATAGTAGATGCTGAGTAAATAACTTCAAACCAACAACCCTCACTGTCCTCAAGTGGTTGTTGACGTATAGTGACCCTATAGGACAAAGCAGAACTGCCTCTGGGCTTCCCAGACTGTAAATCTTAACAGGAGTAGAAACCCTCATTGCTGTCTCTTGGAGAGGCAGGCGAGTTTGAACTGATGATCTTGTGGTTAGCAGTCCAGTGTGTCACCCACTGCGCCACCAGCCTCCTGCTCTAAACCGCAGCGAGTGACTATCTGAAGACGATGCCCTCCTTTCTCTTCACTGCCGTGCTCTGCTGCCTGTCAGAGCCCCTGTCCTAGAGGAAGCCAGTGTCTGGCATATGCGAGTAGGGACCTGGTCAGTGCTCGCGCCCTGCCTCCTCTTTTGTCCTTGGCTACTGCAGCCAGGTACGTTGTCCAGCTTCTCCTTGTGTAACGTAAGCGTATTTCCAGACTGTTTCTCACGAGTTTCTGTTCAAACTAGCACACACATTGCACGCACTCTCCTTAACACCCAGCAGTTTTTCACTTCTTTTTTTTGTATAACAAAATAATAGCTCTTAAGATATTTTATAGAACATAGAACAAATTAATTTTGTAAATTTGTAAATACAGTATATGGGATCAGTAGAATGGCGACAAATATAGTCAAGTTCATTTCTCACTGTAATCATTGGGAAGCATGTAATTTATGTCTTTTTTTCCTGAAAACTGTTGTTTCTTTTTCCTTCCCAGGGCGGTTAAGAAAGTGGCCCAGTACATGGCTGATGTCCTGGAGGACAGCAAGGACAAAGTCCAGGAGAATCTGTTGGCCAATGGAGGTAAGCTAGTCACGGATTTAAATACAGTGAAAGACTTAATTCTGCCAACAGTCATGTCAGAACAAACACAGCACAAACATCTATGGCCAGGTGTGCACGTGCACCTAGAAGCCATTCTCATTCCTCTGTTGCTACTGAACTTGGTGATCTGCCAGTTCATGTCTCAACTCCAGAAATACAATCTCATGTCAGACCATCTCACATAACATATCCACATGATTAGGTATATGGGTGTCATATCTTCCCCAGTGCTACACAGATCGGCCTTACTTTGAAATGTATTTATTAACTCACAAGTACATTTTACTACACTTGATCTTAGCCAGAAGACTGAGAAGTGATTCACAGTACGTTTCGAGCCTTGGTCCAATTGATATTTGCTGCCTTCCCTAGCTTTTTATAATTAACATCCAAAACTACTGTCACTGTAGACTTTGTTAATAAAATTATTGCATAAGGAGTCCCCAACTTAGGACTCGATTCCCTTCCCATGGTTGCAAGTTTGTGCTAGTATGAGTCGGATGCCCCATTTACTTATTTTTCACTATTACTGCCTTTTATTATTAGTATCATCATGAATCTGATCTTCATTTGTCTTTGGGGGTTGCAGACAATGAATGTAAACTTCAGAGGTAGGATCGTGAAGACCTTGGCAAGGCAGGCACAGTGTTTGTAGTATATGCTTTTATTAAACAGATGTAGGAAAAGCAAAAACCGATGGTCAGAAGTGCGGTTGGTTTATGCTAACTCCAGTCAGGGGCTGCTTGTCCTGCTATTGCTGATGCTATTGCCGGTAACGCCTCCTCTGCTCAGACTTGACGATGACAGTGTGGCAGCACTCAGGACGGAGCCGTGGTGGTGCCATGCTAACGGGAAGGCTCCCACCTACCAGCCGCTCCGTGGGAGAAGGTGGAGGCAGTCTGCTTTCATAAGATTTACAGCCTGGGAAACACTATAGGGGCAGTGCTTCCCTGTCCGATAAAGTAGCCGAGACCGGGTGGCATCAGGTTTTAGTAACCATAAAACACTGCACTGACATTGCTCCCACTAGAAACCATGTTTGCAGAGTTCTAGTAATAATGGCTTTGTAAACATCGCTGTGACTACTGTTGTACTTTTATGTGTGTTTGTTCTTGCCTTATGAAATGTAAGCATCGGCTTAACTTCAAATTAGGTCCTTTGGGGTCAGGCTCCAGAGACGGGGCTTTCGACTCCTGTAGACACGTCCAGTCTTGGAAGCCCGCAGGGATCGTTCTCCTCGGTCCTCTAGGGTCCCCAGGACAGCATGGACTTGAGTGAGTTTGCTCTTGTGGTTTTTTAGGCTTAGGCCTTGGGCTATTAACCTCAGTGTTGGTGGTTCAAACTCACCAGCCGCTCTGAGGGAGAAAGAGGAGACGCTGCCCTTGCAAAGATGTGCTGTCGTGGAAGCCCCACAGAGGGTGGCTATGAGTTGGAATCGACTTAATGGTGATGAATATGATTTTTTAATTAAAAGAGCATTTTATTGGGGGCTCTTATAACAATCCATACATCCATTGTGTCAAGTACATTTGTACATGTTGCCATCATTATTTTCTAAACATTTACTTTCCATTGAGCCCTTAGTATCAGCTCCTCTTTTTTCCCCCTCCTTCCCCACAAACTCTCATGACCCCTTGATAAATTATTAATTATTACTATTATCTTACACCAGCCGTTGTATCCCTTCTCCAAGGTTTTTGTTGGAGGTGGGGGTGGGCGGTGGGAGGTGGGAGGGTGGCTAGGTGTCGATCATTGCAATCGGTTCCCTCTTCCTCCCCTCCTCTCCCCACCTTGCCTCTACCCTTCTGGTATTGCTACTCCCCTTCCTGTTCTGGATTCCGTGATTTTTGTTTTTGAGAGCTGTAAGTCATAGAAGTAAGAAGTAACTTTCTTTGAATTGTACACTGTCTTTCTGGCTGAGAGTAAGTACTGCTTCAAGTACAGCATTTCTCTTGTCCCTTCTCTTGCAGAGTAGATGTTCAGTAAGCAGTTAATCAGTAAGAAAAGACAGTAACTACTGTTACTCTTCAGCATACTGCTGCTCACCTGACGTTTCACTGTTTCCAGTAGTTTGTGTTTTGAGACAGTAGAACAGAATGGAGATACACTGATTACGGGGTCTTTGTTGAACTGTGTCCTTGATGAAAAGCAGGCCGTCAGTTGGGTGAGAGCGGGGTAGCAGTCTGTGGGGCAGCGCATCTGAATATGGTGTTGGCTGTGGTGGTATGTGAGGAGAAGCTGAGAGGGAGAGATTTAGATATGGATTACACTAGCCAGGAAACCAAAGGTCAAGTCTGATTTGAGGGTAAAATGAGGTTGAATCCCCAATTTCCCAGTAGTGGAAGTATCTCTTTGGCTCCCCTGCCCTGTGCCCCTTTGGAAATGAATGGATGTGTTTGTTGATTCGTGTTGTTAGTTGACATCAAATCAATGACAGCTCTTGGCAAAGTAGAACTGCTGCACGGGGTTGGCAAGGCCGTGGGACCTTTTGGATGCAGAGCTTCTGATCTGCTTTCTGAGAAGCTTCTGACTGGATTTAAACCACCAGCCTTCCAGCTACGCGTCGTCGAGTGTTAAACTCTGCACCACCCAGGGGTGACACTCCCTGTGAACTGTGCCCAGGACACGTGTCTAGAATCAGTCACCACGCACTGTACATAGGCAGTTTTGTTCTCAGTTTCTTTAGGTAAGTTGGCAAAGAAAGAGCATACTTTTATCAAATTCTGCTTTCTGAGGAAATAGTGTGGAGTAGCTTCTTCCTCTCTCCTGAGTGTGAGTCCAAAGACGTGCGTACCATGCCTGTTCCACTCATTGCATCATGGAAACAGAGTTAAGTGTCTTACCTAATATGTAGGCTCAGTTTTGAGCCAAGGAAAAAGATCTGACTAGAAATGAGATCTTTGCTGGTTTTTTCCTCCTAGACCTTTTTCAGCATTAAAATGTCTTACTCTTTAAATGTGCTGTAAGAAATTCCATTCCTTTACCTTCCACAATTAACTCATTCCCTTATTTCAGTTGACTTGGTTACATACATAACAAGATTCCAGTGGGACATGGCCAAATACCCAATCAAGCAGTCCCTGAAAAATATATCTGAAATAATTGCCAAGGTAAGAGCAAAACGGGGTCCGAGGGGATGCATTCGTGTGCAGTGGATTGATTTTTCTAAGTCTATAGCCATTAAGGACTTTTTAGGTTTTTGCCAAAGCCATTTAATGTCTGTCACAGATAGCATGTTCCTGAAGAAAGATGTTCTGAAACACAGCGCATGCTGCTACAGGGTAGTTGGGAACTCTGTACTTGCTGTGCATTTTTTTCTGTAAACGTAAAACTGTTCTTAAAAAAGTCTAGTAATGTATTCAACACTTCATAGGTAGATCAACCGAGTTCTGTTGTTGACTTACTAACCTCATTAACTTTTAAATATTGGCATTAAGAGTTTTCAAACAAGGAGAGTAACCTTAAAGTTCCATAATTATTATTTATACATGTTTTCATGGTAACAGATCACATAGACTAGAAAATTGGAATCTATGAAAGGTTCATGAGTCATTCAGGTAGATGGTAATCGTTATCTTAAAGCACATCCCAAAGCTGATGCATTGTCTCCAGTTCTAGCCTAAAGCATGCTGTCTTTAATAAGACCGAAAAGAATGGCCCCGTTTGCCTTCTCAGGGTGCAGTCTATATGGAAGCAGGCTGCCATGACTTCCTACCAAGGAGCGGCTGGTGGGTTTGAACTGCAGACCTTTCCATTAGCATTGGAGCTCCTGTATTATTTGTTAAAGACTGTCCGTGGAGACTCGACTATGGAGTTTGGAGAGTACTAATTAAAGTAAAACCTTCTGTGCGCACGCTGAAGGACCAAGCTCTAAAAGGAGAATGTCTTTGTTCATAACTCTGCTATCTACCATTACCTATTTTCCCTATGAAGGTGAATTTGTTTATCAGTGTTAGCAAAGATGGTTTTTTAAATAATCAACTTAGAAAACACAGAGTAGCAGGTGAAAAATTTTAAGAGCAGGTTTCAACCCTCAGTCTTACCTTAAAGAGTGTCATGTCAGTGGGATATGCCACTTCCTCTCAAGTCTGTTTCCCTCTCTGTAATGGGTACCGATATTGGCTGAGCTCGGAAGCCCTCAGAAGCCTTTCCAAGCACAACCATACCTTCGTATGAAAGTGCTTATCACCTGATGCAAGGGTTTTCTCGCTTACAGACATAATGTACTAATCGTTAGTCCTGTTTTCGTGAGATAGACTGATATGAATGAGTCGTTGAGATTCTCCCCCAAACCTCCAGACTCACCGCCATCCTGTCGATTCCAGCTCAGCGTGAGCCCGGTCGCACAGTCGCACAGCCTGTCGGTCTCCAAGGCTGTCGGGCTGTGCTCTTCCAGAAAGCCTCATCTCGGCTCCCTGCCCTGGCCCCTGGGAGACTCAGACTGCTGGCCTGTGGTTAGCGGCCAGTGCATAACCCCCCGCACCGCCAGGGCTCCTCCTTAGCTCAGAGCTAGAAGGAGGGTTACCAGTTTCATTTGGACAACTTATAAAACACAAATTTTAAGTGCCTTAATTTTTCTACCTATAAAATGATAGAGCTAGAGGATTGTCTAAGGTCTTGGCTTTAAAATTCCAAAATTGTATTTTCCTCAATACTATATTGCTTAATTTTTTTATTCCTAAAAACAAGGAGCCTTGGTGGTGTAGTGGGTTATGAGCCAGGCTGCTAACTGCAAGGTCAATGGTTCAAACCCACCAGCCTTGCCATGGGAGAACGAGGTGGGCCTTCTGCTCTCGTAAAGATTTGCAGTCTGGGAGACCCAGAGATGCCACTTTACCCTGGCCTGTAGGTTGTTATGAGCCAGAATTGACTTGCTGGCAAAGAGGTTGGTTTTGTTTGAATAATACTGCAGTCTACCAAAAGGAATACAAGAAGTTAGTGTTTCATGCTGAGGAGACTGAATCAACTTAGCATAAAGTTGGTCATCTCTAACTAGTCTCCTTTTCCCTTTTCCCTTTAAGCATTGCCGTTCCTTCCTACAGAATGGTTGGCTCAATTTTAAATTCTAAATATAATAGAAAAGCACTAATGTTAACTTGAATTTAAGTGCAAGCCTATTCTTTTAGGTGGTTTGTTACCATATAATCTAGACATAAAAAACTCTCGTTATAAACATCTTCATCTGTGATGATCACATTTCTATTAGGGTCTTCTACTCCTGATTTTAATAAGTTGTAGCCCAAATTTTTGTCCACTTCTGTGTATTAGTGTTCACTGTGCTGTACCCTACATAAGGAGATTGGATATAAAATTTCCTATCAGTAATCCTGATCTGAGGAATTTTCCCAAGCGGAATCATGAAAAGCTTTAGAAACATGAGGTCCTGAATTGCATCTCTCAAGACTTGATAAGGAAGTCCTTATGCCAACTTTCCTTTTTTGCTGCCAGCATCCTCTTTTTGCTACTCTACCACTTGCCTAATGCCCTACTACAGTAGACTCCACCAGCCCTTTCCCGCCTCCACCACGGTGTCCTCTCTTACACCCGCTCTTCTATGCCTGCTCCTCGCAACGTGCTCTTTCAGACCCTGCTCAGGCTTCTCTGTTCTGTGAAACTTTCTCGGCCTCTCTAGTGTATGATCAGTTCAGTCCTCTGTTGTGGTCCCACAGCTCCCTGACATTATCAGCTGCTACATTGATCTCTCTGGTTCCTTCCCCGACTCCAAGTTCAATTAGAAGGCTAGAGTCATATGAGTAGTATTTTTTTCATCATTTTATTCCCAGACTTTAGCTCACATGGCTTGGTACATGGAATACACTGAAACTACATGGAACTACATGAAACTACTTTATTCTTAAAGCCAGCGCCCTTTGGACTTCTATTCCACAGCATTCCTCCTTCAAGGAACTCCCTTTCTGATCAAACCTTAAAAAATAAAAAGGATTAAAGCCAATATTAAGATTAGAGTTTTGCATTACTATTTTATATGTGCTGTCCTTAGAGTCGTGCCTGTCTTCAGATCTTAGCAAACTAAACTAGCCTTTCCACTTTAGCCAGGCCGTTGAAATCATTGGCAGATAATCTGTCCATGCAAGCAGTTCATGATCAACTGTAACATAAAGGTTGGCAGTTCCAACCTACCCAGTGGTCTGGCATTCTGCTCCCATGAAGAGTAAAACCAAACCAAGCCCCTTGCTAATTACAACCAAGAAAACCCTCTGGAGCAGTTACACCCTGTCACACGTGGATTGCTTTCAGAAGGAACCAAAGAAGACAATGGGTTTGGGGTGGGTTGGTTGATTTCTTATAATTCTTGGTAAGACTTTTACATTTTCTTTAAGTTCAAGGATCCTCATTGCAAAAGAAACTCTTAATTTCTTGCCCTAATAGATGGGCTTCTGGGTTTATGCACTTTTCTGAAATGGTGCTGTGATGTGTCCTGTGATACATGAGTATGCACATTTTTCTGGGTGGTGGATCCGTTCGGCGTAGTCATAGCAGTCAGAGATCCCATTCAGTTGAATGCTTTTAATCAGTTGTTTGTTGTCATCCTCTTGGCTTGACTCATGGTGACGTTATGTATAACAGAATTATGCATAACAGCAGCAAGTGTTGCCCGGTCCTGTGCCGTCTGCGTGATCTCTAGTATGTTCCCATGAAGCATTCCTAAGTGACTATTAAGGAGCCCTGGTGTGACAGTGGTTGAGTACTCAACTGCTAACAGAAAAATTGGCAGTTAGAATCTATCAGCTGTGCTCAGGGAAAAGGATGTGTTATTCTCTTCTATAAGGATTTTACAGCCGTGGAAGTCTGATGGGCAAGTTCTATTTAATCATGAAGGGTCACTGTGAATTAGAATTGACTTGACAGCAACTAGTTATTGTTTTGTTCTTTAAGTGTGTTTACCATCGACCAGAATGACTCATAAGACTCTTATAGACTCTAGTTTCCTAATCCATGCGATCTCAGCGAACATGAAAACTTTTATACAAAACGAATCTCTTCTGCCCTGTAGGGTTCTTTCAGTCAGAATTGCCTCGGCAGCAGCAGGTTTGGCATACTAACAGTAATGAAAACACACGTGAACCAAAACAGAATCATTCAAAATGAAGCAGCTTATTGTAAAGGGGCCTTTCATTTGAAAATAATAAAATAAATATTCTTAGATCAGGAACTCGTGGTGTTTTGGGTAAAAGTTGTAGTTAAAGGGCAGCCACTTAGTTATCTTAGTTGAGGCAGAAGTAGGGACGTTTTGTCCATTTTTTCTTTTTTGTTCTTTTCTTTAAAGGGAGTAACTCAGATCGACAATGACCTGAAATCCCGAGCATCTGCATATAATAACCTGAAAGGGAACCTTCAGAATTTGGAGCGAAAGAATGCGTAAGCTTATCCAATAGACGGGCATATGAAAACACTGGGAAGCATTCTAGCATATATTCAGTTAGATATTGTTGGGATTTAGTAAGGCCCACTTGGTAATGTTTCTGTCACCAGCATGCCATATGTTTCCAAGCCACGGAGAACACTTCTTTCAGGTAAGTTACAGAGTCCATCCAGGCTGGAGACTGATGTAAATGTCATTGCTTTAAAGCCATGCATAGCTTAATCGTATATCTACTGGCTAAAACAGTCTGTAGACACAGTCAGACAGATAGCTTGACTGCTGTGGGGCGGTTGTGCCTGTTAGTGACCCTCTGGGATAAAGTAGAAATGCCCTCAGGATTCCCAAAGCTGTAGTAGAAGGAAGCAGACCTGCACATCTTTCTCCCACGGAGTGGCAGGCGGCTGGCTTCTCGCTTCACCACTGCTCCTCCAGGGCGCTTTAACACAGTTCTTTGGGAGAATTCCCCTTTTGTGATGTAAGTAATCATCTCTACTGATTTTCCAAATGTAGGTTTTCACAAGGTTGACTTAAATGGGGCACACAGGCTTTGGCTCTTCTCCTCCTGGTCTTACCACATGTGGCTTTAAGAAGGGAACTGCCCCGCTTAGGCCTTCCTCTGGGAGGTTGGTGGGACACCCCACTGGTAGACCAGATGACATCTTATTTGGAAGAATGCACTGATGGTTGTGCTAACAACTGTAACTGCCTGGTACCAAATGAGGCCCAGAGAGAGGGAGGAAAACCAAAGCCTGTGCTCTGATGACGTCATTTCCTAATTACCGTGAAGGAGACTTGTAATTGATGTCTCATATATTTCCAAGTCAAGACTTCATGTATGGAGTCAAGAGAATAGGGGAGTTAAAATATACCCATTCCTCACTATCTTGTTATCCAACATTTTGCATGTACAACAATCATAAAGATTATACCCTCTGGTTGGTGTTCACATTAACAGCGAACACCGGGCAGTCATGAATCTGAGGCATGAGGCCAGAGTGACTGGCTGTGATGATGAAGATTAGTTGTCAGCTTGGTGAGGCCATGATTTACAGTGTGATGTCATTGGCAGTTATGTAATGAATGATGTACTCATCCATTTAAAAAATCTGCTGTGATCATCCTCCATTTTTTCATCATGCTGGTTTTTGCCTCTTGATCTTTGGGATCTAGCCATGCCTATAAGTGAAGAATGGGTCTAAACTAGGCATGAGGAAGGCGGTGGGAAGTTTCATGCCTTTGGCTGTAGGAGTGGGAAATAGCTAAATTTTGACTTCTTGTGACAAAAGTATTAACCCAGGCTGGTCTCACTAAGTAGCCTGTGTGAATATGGTTAGCTTCCTGTTTTCTTGTACTAGAATGTAATTGCTTTCATACCTACAATAAATACAGAGTCATTGGCTTCATGATTTTCTCGTTGCCCAGGGGCAGTTTGCTAACCAGAAGTCTGGCAGAAATCGTGAAGAAAGATGACTTTGTTCTGGACTCCGAGTACCTGATCACTCTGCTGGTGGTCGTTCCAAAGTACGTAATGGGAATAACATTTATAAACTGAGAGTCCACGTCAAGTTCAGTAACAGAGTAAAATGAACTCATTACAAAATTAAATACTGTTGCTAGATAATTAGATTTTCTTTCAGTACAGATGTAAATTTTTTTCAAATTAGTAAGGAAGGTCTCTGTCCTCCGTTTATCTGAAACGTCTCTGACTGATTAGGATGAATGAGGATCCCGGGTGCTCGGTAGTTAGAGGTCCGTCTTCTGAACCTGCGTCCTGTCCTGGAGAAAGTCGGGACAGTCTGTCTTCTGAAGAGCGCGGTCTTGGAAATGCTGCGGGGTCGGCTCTGCCCTGTCCTATAGGGTCGCTGCGATGAGTTGGAATGAGCTCAACAGCAGAGGCTTTAGTATAAAACAAAACCTGTAAGAGCAAGAGATGGACTAGATGAGAAGTTAGCCACATTTTTCTGTGAAAGGCCAAGCATTAACTATTTTCAGTGTGTAGGCTGGGTGGCTGTGTTGCAGCTACTCAGCTCTGGGTAATGTGTAAATGAACGGCTATGGCTGTGTTTCAGCAAAACTTGATTTTCAGAAACCAGTGTGGGCTGTGGGCACATAGTTTGCCAACCCTTGAGTTAGACAACCCTTGATGTCTCATTCAGATGGAGCCTCTATTTTAATGAACATTTTACCGGTGTTTATTTTGGTAAAATGAAACCTTTGAACACTCATAGGAAGCTTGGAACTCTTTCTCTGTGTGTGTGAGGTTAGATAGTGCTCTGATTACCTTACACTTAAAACTTGCTATCCGGGACTCTTGGATCCAGTATGTGAGCGCTCTGGGCCTGCCGAGAGCTTCGTTGCCTGAAGTCTCCCTTGCTGTGTTTTCATGTCATTAGGAAGTAGGGCGTTGGGCAATGTCAGGATGCCATGTGGAGAGAGCTCAGAACACCAGCACCAACGAATGGACCAAGCCAAACCAAACTCCTTTGCCTCGAGTCAGTGCCGCTCAGAGTGACTCTAGGGCAGGGTAGAACTGCACCCGGGGGCTCCCGAGACAGTAACTCTTTACAAGAGTCTTTCTGTCTCTCTCCGAGGGAATGGACAGTGGCTGCAGTATTAACGTTTGCTTTGTGTCTCAGTTACATAACTCCTGCTATATGGGGACACTGATTATTATAGTAAACACCCTCTGTATCTGTGTTTTCAATATGATGTAGGGAAATAACCTTTGTTCAAACAATAAACCTTTGTTTAAATAAAGGTCTCGTGCAACCTTTATTTAAAATGTCTTTTGAAGACCAGAAATGTTGACCATTTTCCGTCCACAGTGATTGTGTCACAGGACCCCGGTCATCTTTGGTAACGCGTTATTTTTTGTCCTGGCCTGCAAGCCTCTATGCCGATGGCTCCGTCACAAGCTTGGTGGCTTCTCCTCATACCGCGCCAAGCCAGGGCCCCTAGAGAAGGTTGTTGCACAATGTTTCTTGGCAACGTAGTGTGCTGTCACTTTATTTACATAACAGTTCCTGGTACTCTGGACTTTCAGTAAATACAGGCTTACCCAACCCTTCATTGTGGCCACTCAGTAGAGATGGCAGGGGTTTCAGCGTTGACTTTTTCTTTGTCCAAGTGAGGTCAAGTGTGCCAGCCATAACATTTGAAAGTCATTTAGGCTCTAAATGTTACTTTGTCCGTTGCCAAGCTCAGTTCTAGGATGCACCTCTCTTGCAGTGGTTACTAGGTCTGAGGGCGGTGAACTACAGTTCCTGCTTTTCTTAGCGTATTCGAAATTCATTCTCAGCAGGAAGCGAAAAGAATGTTTTAGTTGGATTTGCTGTGTACTTGGTGCAGTTGAATCTCCTGTGTGTCCCTTACTCCACCCCACATCCCTCTCTGAAGATAGCACGAAGTAGGGATTATTTACCCGTCTGCAGCGCTGCTTGTATTTTTTCTGCAGGTTGAACCACAATGACTGGATCAAGCAGTATGAAACACTGGCTGAAATGGTCGTCCCAAGGTCGAGCAAGTGAGTAGTAATCCCTGTAAAACTGCCCATCTCCAACAGTTCCCCGAGTGTGCATTAGGACTGTCTCTTATCTTTCTTTTGCAGTGAATGTACAGCGCCAGAACCACCATTTCCCCTTGCAAATAGGGAGATATCTAAGCTCTAGTGATCTTACGTTAGACCTGGAGGGAGCTGTGCGATCATCGGACCCACTCATGTTTTCATAGGTGCAGAAGTGTGAGGCCAGAGAGTTGAAGGCTTTTGCCCAGAGTCACACACGTCACCAGTGGCAGGCCTGGGATTGGATCCCGGGTCCTGGGGGTGGCACCTCTTCTGCAGCACTGTGCTGCTTTCTGAAATCTCCTTTCTGCATTCGTTGCACACCTGCTTTGTGGCTGTGAGTCTTTATTTTACCTTGGAAAGGAAGTGTACAATTGGCTGCTGCAATATTCCACCTCAGATCTTCACCACCATTTTCCAGTGAGCCTAGAATCCATGCCATCTGTGCTTGCCTCATACAGACAGACATTCTTGGAAGCACGTTTTCACGAGTGGGCTTACCGTATGTCATCTAATTTGATGTTGGTGATAATTCTGTGAAGTGGTAGGCAGCGTCAGCGTTCTGGATGAGGACGTCAGAAAGCAGGCAGGTTCATCACCCATGACTGTGTGTGTGTCCAGTGGCATAAAGCCTCAGTGCTTTACCTTGAGCTCCTGCCCTCTCTTGACGATGCATGCTGTTCTGCCTTTGGGAAAATATCTAAATCCAACGTATATGCAACCTACGAAGGACTTTTTGCATGTGTAGGCCTCTCAAGGAGGCAGCCTGGAGAAAGGCAGGCAGAGGAGAGAGGAAAGAGATGGTATTCGTAAGGCCAGGCCCATGAAATATTTTCTTTTCCAATTTCATTGTGTCAGTCAATATGGGTGGTAGCTTAGTATAATGGGAAGAGTCCTGGACCCAGGGATCTGAGTTCTAATGCTGGTTCTGCTACCAACTTGCTGTGTGACCTGGGGTAAGCCTTTTAACTTCTCTGGGCCTCATTTTCTTTATCTGTAAAGCGAGCATAGTACCTTCCCTCTAACTCTCAGGAAGAGATTTTAAGGAGTGGTAGTACGCAAACCTCAATCTAGGACAGTAGTTATCGTTGTTAAACAAATGCAGGCACTGCACAAGTAAGCACAGACCTGTGCTCATCGTGGAGTCCCCCCATTCTGCATGCACAGCGCCCCTTCATGTGGTAAACTGAAGATCAAGGTTGCACCTTGGTAAATTTCTACTTAACACATTGTCGCCTCTCACCTGCATTGTATAGAGCATTAAAGCCAAGAGAGTGACTTTATGTCTAGGTGGCAGGTGAAGGAGGAGAGTAAGGACCCCACACAGAAAGTCCTTCCTAATTGTACATATGCCAAGTCATATATCCAGGTAAGTGGAGTGCTCAGAAGGAGCTTTGAAATTCCTCTGTCACCTGGAGCAGCAGAGGAAGGAGGAGCGTCAGGACAGGAGGAGGATACGGACTGTCTGACTGGCTGCCTCCCTGTCCGGTCCCTCCTTTGTCGAGAGACAACGGCAGCCAGATGGTGCCTGGCTACCGCACCTGTGTTTTGATGAAAGCTTCTAGGGAAGAACCCTGATCAAAATGGGAGGAAATGCAGAAGGGAATTTCAAATCTCATGGACTCTCAACTTTATGGAGCCACGTAGGCCGGACTAACCCCTAAACCATTACCGAGGATAGAGCAGAGGTTTCTTTTTTTTTTTTTTTTT